CAAGACTACCTACTAGGTTGTATATATAAATTGCTATTAAAATATGACACAGAGACAGAACAAGTAAAAGAATAAGTAGATGCATAATTTTAAAGAAACTATTACATTACGTTACAAAGAATGGGAACACTTGTGGAAAAAAATCAATAAAATTTACCCCAAAGTATAAGAGAAAATTCGTATAAAATGTTTTACATAACTACATCCATAATTGCAAAAATAGATAAATCATATAATAATAACTGTTGGAACCATGGTGATACAGATTTAAATAAATCAAAAGTACTAGAAAGAAATATACAGCATTTGTAATGGTATGTGGGAATGACCCTGGGAGACGGTGCCCAGAGACGCTGCCAAGGGAACGATCAGATAAGAGACAGCATAGTCTGCAGCTGGATAGTGGGTGGGGCAAGAGGCTCAGAAGGGACCCTCCCTAATTTTGGGGGGATAAAGGAGATAGGAGGAGAATTGTACTTTCAGACTTGCAGGATTCTGTTAATGTAACCTTACAATAAAGTAGAACTATCTGATTCAGTCATGTTTCCTGTCTGGTCTACCTGGTATGGCTGACATCATTATTTTAAAAAAAATGTAAACCAAAGTTTGAATTAAAACCTGAGTTTTTTTTTAATTAGGAAACTTTCCGGAACAAATAAATAAAAAATATCACTATTAAAATATATGCTGATGGTCACTGGACAAATTTGGCCCAACACTGGGAAAGAGATATTTTGCTTGGCAATATCAGACTGGAAAACAAAACTTGCACACCATGGTAAAATTAACAGTACAGGCAGTCCTCACTTAGCAATGGTAATTGAGACTGGAATTTCTGTCACTAAGTAACATGGTCATAAAGCACAATATGACGTGACTCCTACCAGTTAATTTTGCCATGCCTGTGTATTCCCCAAGTTTGGTTTTCCAGTCTGATATTGCTGGCAAAATACCTCTTTTCCAGTGTTGGGCTAAATTTGTACGAGGGCTGGTCGTAAGTACCACCCATTCAGTGCCATCATAAATTCGAACGGTCGTTGAACCAGTGGTCATTGAGTGAGGGCCACCTGTATACATCCAGAGCAGAAATGTGACTAAATTTAAGTAAAAATGCTTAATTCTTAATATCACACAACAAAGCAAACTCAGATACTTAAAAGTATGGTTTTTAAGAAGAAAATATTTGATATAAAGAGAGGCAATTTTAATGTTTATATATAATTTGATGTAATCACCAGTTGGGCACAATGGGAGGGAATTTACAACTTAATATGGTTTTCACTGATGGTTTTTAGTATTTTTCATTTTTTCTTTTTTCATAAGGTCATGTGCATTTATTTTAGATACTGATAAATTGTGACATCATTATAAAAATGTTTAGAGCTTTTCAGTGATTCATAATTCTCAAGATAACATGAGTTTAGTTTTATATATCCAGTTAATTATTTAATCAATGAAATAATGAATTTTAAATTTTATGACAGTTGTAAATTCTCTGTTTATTTACTGGTATTTATTTTGAATAGAATAGAATAGAA